ATGTTTTTTTTAAAGATATGTATATAAATAGTAAAATGTACCACGCGTGAGATTCCTTCACCCTATTCGTATTTATCAATTATCCCAAAAACACAGATAAATAAAACACATCACAAAAGCTTTCAAATTACAAAACTCCCGAGCATATAACATAGAAGTATATAACATATTCAGTACTTTGTCTGGCCTGGCAAATGGCTAGTTTATATCCCTGACCTGGTGGCGTCAGAGTACCACAAGACAGATCCAAACAGATAGAGGTACTTGAAACTAGTCTCTTTAGGCTACTCCAGTCTCAGATCTATTTTCCCATCTAACAACTGCGGTATCGCTTCCTTAGCATATATCGAAAGATTCGATACGAAACTGTACATATTAACAAAAAACTTTAATGTAGATTTTCTCTGAAGACAATAAATCAATTTTATTGCCTAATATATATTTTTCTGTTTATGTTAGAGGGGGCAGACGAGCAGACGGGTCAACTCATGGAAAGTGACCATCGCCGCCCATGAACGTCTGCAACTCAGGAGTCACAAACGTAGCACAGGGAACATGGGGTTCCCACACGGGGGGAGGTCGTCTACTTGTCAGTAGATGACCCGTCACAAACGCGTTGCCGGCCTTTTAGGAAGGAGTACCTACCCTCTGTTCTTAAATGTTTGAAGGTCGTATCGGTCCAGAAATACCGCAGACGATAACCCATTCCACAGATTGATTATGCGAGTCAAAAAGTGTCTCGAAAAGCGCACAGTAGTGGAGCGCCAACTATCCAGGTGATGAGGATGAAAATTTTGCCGTGTGGAACGATGGCGAACACTTGCAGCTGGTATTAGTCCGAACAATTCCTCGGAGCCCTTTCCATGATACATGAGATAGATAATGCAGAGTGAAGCCACATCTCTACGTAACGTCAAGGGATCGAGCCGATCGGTGATGTTTGGGCTATCGACGGTTCGAGTCGCTCTTCGTTGGATGCGGTCCAGAGGGAGAAGCTGGTACTGAGGTGCCCCTGCATAGAGATGAGAACAGTATTCCATATAGTTCAAATAAGGTACAATATAATAATTAGGAACAGCTACTCTATCTCTAGACATGGCAATATTGTCATTATATGTTATTTTAAATACATTTACATCCATTAGCTATTAGAAACATTAAAAAAACCGGTCAGGTACGAGTCGAACTCGTGCGCTGAGGGTTCCGTACCTACCCAGATTTTACGTAGATTTTCGCGAAAATTTGTAAGTACCAAAAGTTATCTTAATTTTCAACTTTTTATATTTTTTGGAATTATTCCTTTATTTGTGCTGTAAGACGTTTCTTTTTGACAAATTTCGTGATTCTAGGTCAACGGGAACTACCATATAGGTTTTCGACTCAAAACCTATGGGGTACTTCCGGTTGACCTAGAATTGACAATTTTGGTTAAAAGCAAGGTCTTACAGCACAAGTAAAGAGAAAATTCTGAAAAATAAAAAAGTTGAAACTAAAGGTAAATTTTGGTACTTACAAGTTTTAGCGAAAATCGAAATTTGCCTATTTCTTTTTATCGTGTTGACTTAGAACCTTGATTTTTATACACTTAATAGGGACTATAGAACCCGGGTGTACCCGTTCCTGAGGAAATCGGTGGTGACACACGGACAGACGGACAAGAAAGTGATCTCATAAGGGTTCCTTTTTTATCATTTGAGGCACGGAACCCTAAAAACAATTTAAAAGTCTATTTCAATAACATGCACTCCTGAAACGAATGTTTAAATAAAAGTCAATTAAACTTTAAATTAATCAATTGATTTGGCACTTAATAGCCTCCGGACGGAAGCCAGACAATAGACACCGGCTATGTCATTATACACACCGATGGTTCGATATTTTAATATTCAAATCGATTGAGCCGATTGAGCATCGATGCATTGATTCGACGCTAATGACCGCGTTTGGACTTTAATTAATGATAACGAAGGGTCAGTCATTATATAATGCAATCGTATACTAATGTTGGGATGGTAATGATGATTTGTGGTGTTTACTTGGTGGTTGTCAACCTTTAGTTACAACATCTTTTTGATAGATATTTAACTGAAAATAAAATGTAAATGGATTTTCAGATTATCAGAATAATAATGATATCTATAAGAGCTGTAATACGTTACGTGATATGATACGACGCGTTCTAAAACCTATTTCGTTTATGATGCTCTAAATATAGATATGAAACTTAAAAGGAAATTAAAATTCATATTCATGTCTTTTGTTGTGTTAAAAACTCAGTGCAATGTTATCAATATTTAAGGAATAATAAAGCCCAAAATAATTGATATATATATATATATATATATATATATATATATATATATATATATATATATATATATATATATATATTACCGAAGAATTATTATTGACCGAAGGTCTTCCCCTAGGAGCACTAACTATCTATGTCTTGCATAGTCCGCATCAATCGTATTGCATCGTATAAAGCGTGATAAACTTAAAATTTCTGTGTGTTTCCGTGTCTTAAGTTTCCGAGAGTTGTTGAAATTTTTGGAAATAACTTTTTATAGGGCACACTAGTGACCATGCTGACCATGACCAGCTTTGAATACATAGAAAAAAAATGAGTGAAGGTTTCCTTGAGAATTTCAATGAAAATGATGCAGATGACTTAGAGTCCATAGAGAGCGTTTATATACCTTAATGATAGCTACCTATACTAGGTTATATTATTGCATTATTAGGTACCTAAATCTGGTACCTATATTGTCCTATATGCTATATTTATATCAAATAAATTTAAGCGTCACTCGTCTAAGGTGGTCTAACCGACACACTAAACAACAACTGCCACTCTGTTTTCTTGAAATAACCTCTGCTATAGCCGTGACTAGAGCGCATGTTTCGAACGCATCACTCAGAGAGCACACAAAGAGCAGTTAACTTAAACTAAATTCGCCTACTTTATTATATGAGTATAGATTCTTGTATGTAGAAACAAATTGTATTTACTGTTTTAATAAGGATGTTGTCTTTGATTTTTTTTTTTTGCTACTATTTCCGCTAATATATTTTTAAAAGTACCGTGCGTATGTGCGGCTACCACAAATCGCCTAGATTAAGAGAATTAATTTTAATACTGAAAATTTAAATACGTTACTCGTAGAATTAAAATTCACCAGATTTCACATTTAAATTTCGTCCATAATCATTGTATTATTTTATGAATGGCAGATACAGTCAGTCAAACTGTATGGGTGTATAATTATCGAGCCATGCATAGTATGGAGTGCAGAGTAAGGAGAACCATCTCATATAGGGGAAAGTTGAAAAAGTGTCTAGATATATCACACATCACATCACATCAACAGCCTTCAATAGTCCACTGCTAGACATAGGCCTCTCCTTAGAAAGGAGGTTTTGGCTATACCACGCTGGCCAGACGGGTTGGTATAGGGTTTGTGTCAAGTTTTCCTTCTATTTGCAGTGCTGGTGTCCTGCGTTGTTTGGCGCCCTTAGTCGGCTCTTACGACACCCACGGGATGAATTGGGGTAGTGACATTCCTTATTCTTAATCCGTCACTACACGGATCATATATATATATTATATACATATATAATGTATAACCAGCTGAGCAATAAATTTTCCCCGTTTTTTCAACATTTTTTATGGAAAATAAAATTGTTGTTTTATTGTCCTCTGATTTTACTTATATACATTTTTTCACCGTTTAAACTTTCTCTGGACTGGACCAAAATTAGAAAAATCGGTTAAAAAAAAATCATTTCCGAGTTTTAGTGAGACTATCGAACAGCAATTCGTTTTTACATATAAGATGTATACTGAAAATAGAGGTCTCTGGCGTACGAAAAACTACGATATGAACATAGCTGTTGCAAGTTGTTGGAGAGAGAAGTGTGCTGAGTTAAGATATTATACTCGTAATACTTTTTACTACACGTTTATTTATTATCTGTAAAACTCATTAACTATTTTTGCAGTCTAGTACATAGTGGCTTATCATTATTTAAGCCATTATAAATTTATCCTAGGCTACCGCAGCGCCACCTTTATTGAACGCGTTTCTACGGACACTCTCGTACACAGAGATGGTTCTCCTTGCTTCTACCCTCCATAATGCATAGGTACTCGTAATATAATAGATGTCAAGTTATTTTCTATTTTTTTCCTTTAACTTTATACGTTTTAGTTTTAATTTTATATATTTTGTGCACTAGAAATAAGTAAGTCTGTTTTATGTGTAAGGAGACAAAAGATTTATTATTTCATAAACTAAATATGATGTTTAAGTAAGATATTTATGTGTTGTATTTGTACAATTTATAGACATGAAGTCTAATTATAGCTATATGCATGTGCATTGTAAATTATCTTCATAAATTCCTTGTTGGATTAAAAAAATGTTTACAAGCCAAACAAATTTCATTAAGTACGAAATCTATGTAATAAAATGTCTTTATGAAAATAATGTGTAAATTAAATATAGAGAACTTAATATGGATACACGAGTCACTCACCTTTTTTTTTTTTTTTTTTTTTTTCGTGCGGAAATCCCCTCGGATACCACCTGTCGGTGGCATGTCGGACTCGAACCGACTAAAACCGCACGCCGTCTCGGGTACTAATAGCCGGGGAACTAGGTATACCCTAGAAAGGAAGTCCCTGGTACGCGAGTCACTCACCTAGCACCTATCTACTTTTCTTAAAGTGATCATCTAAGTGATTATACCGAAATTGATCTTCTGTTGAGGTTATTTAGGTATGAATCTAATAGTTAATGCTCTAAATAAGCGATAATAAACAAGTACAAATTTCTGATAAGGATATCAAAGGTTTTCCGTCATCATTTTCTGTAAATACTTACGTATAGTATAGTGTCATAGCTGAAGCACACTTTACGCTACTAAATATAATAAAATTATTCCAAAAAGATATTGCCTGTAATGAGAACTTTTTTTAATAAAAATATATTTTAAAAATGACTTTACTCAAAGCGTACCTTGTTAGTATGTGTTAGCGCGATAAGGCATGCCAGGTACGATCACGCTGTGAGCGTCACTAGCACTTCACAAGCGGGACAAATGGTCAACGTTGAACTACTTCCGTCAGCAAATATGGCGGGGTTAATTTTAACCAATGTGTGTCAAAGTAATAACGTAACTAGGTGTTAGTTCCAGAAAGGTTGTAAAAGTAATAGCCGAATTTCATAGTGAATGCGGCAACGGATGTTTACTATGGTGGTCATTGGACTAAAAGTTGTGGATTTTTTTCTTTGTATATTCTAATAAACACTTTAGCACATAACTGGATGTTGGACCGGAGTGATAGCAAGACCTTACAGTAAATCGGTGTTAAGCTATTCTTTCATTGCTTGAGTGAGGTTTATGTTGTAAGCACCCACTAAGAAAGGATTTATGAAAATTTCTCCCACGAGGGGTATAAAGAGTAGGTAGAGTAGGTATAAAGAGTGAACGATTGTTCCTCATTTTCGAAGTTAGAAACACGTAATACAAAATAATCATGTGAACGCATAAAGCATTTAGTTCACTTCTTGTTATCTTTAAAAATGTTAAGCATTGTCAACAATTCTTTATTTACAAATTAGTTTTAACGTCTTCTGTCAATTGCTTTAAAATAAATAGAATTTCATTATTTACCATAAAGATAATTAACAACGGAAATTACCTCACCTCACTTTGCTCTTCGCTCCTTGACCCTAGAAGCACTTACATTATTCCAAACGGAACTTACGTCACTAGCTAAAAAGGCATGTATTCAGAAACCAGACTTAATGAGTGTTTGTGCGAACTCCAGGTCAATCTTAGAACGAGCACGACCAATTCAGCCTTTCGCGTAGCCTTCATAATTAACATTTGATTCACTTGATATTTAACTTTGGCAATGCATTCACTGACTTTTAAAAGTATGTACTCGTATGTATAATATAGTAATATTAGTATTATACCACGTTCGGATAACGCCATCTAGTCCCAAGCGACGCTTGTATTTTGGGTACTGGACAACTGATATAAATACACAGATACTTTTTCTTTGTAAATATATACATATTATACATAGAAACACCCAGACCAAATCAAACGATAATTGATTATGCACATAAATGTTTGACATGTTTCGAAGATTAGCATTATTCCTTTGGCTTCATCAAAGAATTAAGACCAATTAAAAATGGTACTGTACCTTTGTAGGATGTATTATTAGATTTTTTTCGGACATCTGACACACAACGCCATTTAGTTTTACACTAAGCAGAGTTTGAAAGCTAAGATTGACTGATAGAATACTTATATACTTTTTTGTAAATACATACATATTATAGAAAGAAAACACACAAACTCCGAAACTAATATAGGCATATCATACAAACATTTGGTCTGACCCGGGACTCGAACCCGAAACCTCAGCACAGCAGTCGCATACGCTACTACTGCACCACTGAGTCAGTCCTTGATGCATTGAACATAATCTACTTCTTTAGCAGGTGCCCCATCCGGCCCACCAGTGGTCCGATGCCAGTTACGCAAACACAAGCCAAACAGGAAACCTCGAACACCGTTTACAACGCAGCAGCTCCTCGCCCTAGAGAAGAAGTTTCGTGATAAGCAGTATTTGAGCATCGCAGAAAGAGCTGAGTTCTCGTCGTCATTGAGGCTTACGGAAACACAGGTACGCAAACACAGGGTCTCTAACCCTTCGTTTTATTTTTTGCTGGTTCTCTACGGATGCCCTCCGCTTGCGAAGAGATTCCCGGCAGGCTATCAAGAGCGTTTAACCCAACTGTAACGATATTTTGTACAAAATATCTACAGGTATTTTTATGTCCCTATAACTACGTATAACTATGCTTTCTTGTAAGAGACAATATTCAAATTCAATGAGGATTGCGTTTTCGGCCAAAGTGGAGTTTATTAGAAAATTTGTTGTATATCCCTAAATAATATATATTTTTGGAAGGAATACATTAATTTTATGAACAAGTGAAAAAATAGTCTCCTTCCCTATTTACATAGTTTTATGTCCCTACCGGTAAGTAAATTAACCAAAGTTAGGACACTCCAAACACCTGCGTCGACGTGAAATAGATGTATAAAGAAAAACATTATAAATTTCACTTAAATTCCAGGTGAAAATATGGTTCCAAAATCGTCGAGCAAAGGCGAAAAGACTACAAGAAGCTGAAATAGAGAAACTTCGGCTTTCTGCACGGCCACTTCTACCCCCATCCTTCGCGCTATTTGGCGGCGGAGGAGCCCCACCGCTGTTTGCAGCCATGGCCGCTGCCTCAAGACCCCAACTGAGCTTCCTCGGAGGCCCTCCAAGCCATCAGCATGCGATAAACATGAATATATTAAACTCTTTACAGCCACATTGACGAATGGACAATGCGACTCGGGATCCGAACGACCAGTCGCCATCTTGAAATTTGTTCCAAGTTTAAATTGATAAGGTTCCTATTCCAATGTGAAATTGTGGTGCAAACGACTTTTGTGCAAGTATGGTCACATAGGTTTTATTTATACATCATACTGTTTTTTATTATAGTTTAATTATAACTACGCAATGTTTTCATAACTTAACAATTATTGTATACAGAAATCACGAAATTAGAATAAGGATAGATGTCGACGGCTAAACCTGGAAGTGATTCTTTGGACAATCTTATAAAAGTATGTTCTATAATTAATTTCAAAGTAAAAAGTAATAATTACATTATACAAAGGTTACTTACATCCAAACTGGCCAGAGTGTTAAGGACAAAGTGTATAGACTGAACGAAGTATAGCAAAAAATGTATATTTATTGCTCCACACGGCTATAAAAATATTACCAAACCTTTACTGGTTTTTTGTTCTAAACCTGAAATGATTTCCACAAAAGATTAAAATTAAGAATGTGAAAGTGCAATTTGTCATACCTACTTTATATACAGATTAGAAAATTGTAAATAAATTTAATAGATTATTTTTAAGACAACTTTTATGGAAACTAGATATTTCCAAGCACGCATGTACTAGGGAATGTTGAACAGTGTATTTAGAGGGATGTTTGATTGTTTTTTTTAAATTATTTTATCTGTTATGCTACACGTTTTTCGTAGATACATGGAGTTCGGGTCAACTTGTTCGCATGTGCATATCATTAAAAGACAACATACTGCTTGTGTAATAACCATTACGCACATGTAATTATATACCTAATTAATGTAACATGGCCGTTATGTGACAATACAAATCGGTTTTTAAAATTCAAGTCAATTCACAGTCAAGTGAAAATGTATAGGTACAGCTACTTAAAATCAACAAATCCAGTGTCACTCTCACATCATCATCAGCAGCCTTTAATAGTCCACTGCTGGACATAAGCCTCTCCTTAGAAAGGAGGTTTTGTCCTACTAAACCACGCTGGCCAGACGGGTTGGTATAGGGTTTGTGTCAAGTTTTCCTTCTCTATGCAGTGCTGTTGTTCTAAGTAGTTTTCTCCCTTAGTCGGCTCTTACGACACCCACGGGATGAATAGATTGGTGACACTCTGTATTCTTAATCCGTCACCACACGGACCTCTCACAAAATCCATCAAGCCGTTTAGACTACAAAGTGTGACAAAGATACATACATAGGTACATAGACTCAAAAACCATAACCCTCCTTTTGGCATAATCGGGTAAAATATGCTTTGTAATACAAATACAAGAAATAAAGGAGCTCTGTATACAAAGTTTGGATACAGAGCTCTATAAAAAAATTCTTACTGTATCGTAAAGAAAGAAAGAAGAAAGTACGTACGGTAACAAACTGTAGTTCTTTCTGTCTCTGTCTCTCGACGATTAGTTTAAATTAATAAATAGTGCTACAATAGGCAAATCGTTTTTTATAAGTTAACCCCAGGCGTTTATTCAAATTAGATACACTTGGGCCATTAATTATACAGGTTTGTTTACAAAAGTAACGTGTTGACTATTTGATTTAAAAGATTTTGCGAACAAATGTGAGAAATATGAAGATTAATACCATTACATATATTATATATGAACTAAGTAACGTACAATAGACGAAGAACTTATATGAAAAATGGTATTAGAAATTTAAAAAATAAAAAAAAGCTAACACAATTTGATGATACAATGAACCAATAAAATGACCATGAGTTTGTGTTACGGCTTGGATTTCAACGGGGCTCAGTGCATGGTGTGCCAGCTCATCACGTAAATTTAATCATTAAATCAAGTGAATACTTGGTTCCTTTTATTTCTAGTACCTAAACAATTATTTATTCCTTTTATTTTCAAATGATTTTGTTTTGTTAAAAGAAAATGATGGATTTTAGGTAACCGGTATGGCGGTAACTCTTAATATGATTTTAATTATCTAATGAATCCGAAGATATTTCAATTTGTTCCCTATTATTACCTAACAGACAACATTTTTAACCGACTTCCAAAAAGGAAGAGGTTCTCAATTCGTTGGAATCTTTTTTTTTATGTGTGTTCACCGATTATCATAAAACAAGTTATAAAACAAAAAAAAAATAGAAATTTGGTTTGTATCATGAATGAATTTAAAAAATTATGAATTTTACATATGGCATGGTTGACAATTAAGATCACATAAACAACGGCCACCCTACAAAGGAGCCCGGTGTAGTAGGGAAGAGTAACCAATATTGAACCTGGTGCTGGTGCTTAAATTGGACCACTTCTGTATTAAAGAAACCCGGTCGTTAAGCAATTTCTCTGTTACATTTCACCGAGTTACTGAGGTTTCCGGAGCTCAAACCCCCCTATATGCCCCCGCATGATAGCGTCGTTGAAAAATACAACCTTCAAGAAAAGAGCGTACTGCTTTCTAAAGGCCGGCAACGCGATTGTGACTCCTGAGTTGCAGACGTTCAGGGTCAGCGATGGTCACTTTCCATCAGGTGACCCGTCTGCTCGTTTGCCCCCTCTAACATGATAAAAAAACTATCATAATGGCACTATTTTTTTACACTAGCAACATAAAAAGGAGCGCTAGCAGCGCCACTAATACTCCGCCATTTTGTAACGCTCCTTTTTGTACCAATATACTATCCCAAATAGTGCCATTTTGGTAGAAATACAGAAGTGGTCCAATTTAAGCGCCGGTTAAATATTGGTTACTCTCCCCTATATAGTACCTGCCAAATTATAGCACATAAGGTTCATTAGGATTAAATCGAGAAAAAACCACCAATCTGTATTTGTTTCACATATTGTTTTCTCAACACTCGATATGATCCTCTTCCCAACCCTATAAATTGCGGACTATCATAAAAGGTATGTACTTGTACTATGTACTAATTATAATGATGTGCAGATAGTATTGTAAATAATATTTAATAAATTATTGTATACGTAAGTTGTAGTACATATTATATTATTATTAAGTGGTATTAATAAAGTGTTAGATTTTTTAATACGAATTCCTACACTAGCTACGTGGACTATCATTACGGCATATTTTTCACACTATGTACACATCAAAGTATTAATTTTAGTTGCTTTTGTCATAAATAGAGCTTAATAAATTTTTTTCATCGATACCCGTTTTTGATGCGAGCAACAAAAAATATATTGCCAAAAATACGTTTAACTTTGGTAACCCTTAGTGAATATTCATTTATATATCGTAACCCTTCATGAATATTCATAAATAATAGAACCATACAACTAGACTTTTTGGCATGTTATCTTTGCGTCATGAATAAATTCATTAGGCGAAAATACACAACATGCCAAAAGTAATGGAGAATAAACGTATAAATATAATGAAACTCGTTGTTCGTAACAAAAATGTATCATAAAATACTATACAAAAATTAGACAATTAACAGTAATCTGGATTTATTTGATCTATGTTATGATACCTTAATAGTTAAACATAAGACACCCGAATATGGAACATTTGTAAATTATTGATTAAATTATAAATTCGTTATTAGTACACGATTGAAGTTTTATTCTATTGTACTTATAGCCTTTTTAATTACGGTTTTTATTTTTACTTAGAATAGTTTACTCTAAATTGAGTGCTCATTGTTTTTAGCAAACTTGAAAAAAAGGAGCACTCTCTTAATCCAATTGAATTTTTTATATTTGTTGCCTTAGAACTCCGTCATTTAATAACCGATATGGAAAATTCCGGTTTTAATTAGAAGGGTATTTTTCCCGTTTGGTTCCATTTCAATTTTATTAAAAGTACCAGTAAAATTTGCGAATGCATGGGAGGATGGAGCGCATTGAAGTCAGTGTTACATTACACACTTTCTCATGCCTAAAAACAAATTAATAAATCTAATAATAAATCCATTGTATAGTTTACTCTTATATATTCCAATAAATAATAAATAAATAAATAAAATAAACTTTATTCTGTAAGAAAACACAGCATACAACTTTTTATAAATTACTAACTTAATGCAACTTACAATAATATTTCATTTTATAAAAAGCTTATAATTATTGACGTACGTGCAACACTATACTACGCATCAGCTTCTGTCAAATAACTGTATACAAACCCTGTGACTTAGTTAAAACCATAGAGTTAAGGTATATAGATTGATATGTCTTATCACATATCACTTCAACAGCCTTTAATAGTGCAGTGCTAGACATAGGCCTCTCCTTAGAAAGGAGTTGGCATAGGGCTTGTGACAAATTTTCCTTCTCTTCTGTTTATCTTTCCTTTACAATGCTTTTGTACTTTGTAGCTTGCTCCCTTAACCGGTTCTTACCACACCCACGGTATAAATAGGGGTGGTGACACTCAACTCTTAACCCGTCACCACATGGATTTATCATGTATCGACTTCAAACCGAATCCTGGTGATATAAAAAAAGTTGACGTTAACAATGGCCCTGTTAAATTCCACAAATGATAAATCCATTACACGGTCTACTTGTGATATTTGTTTGATAAATTGTTAGACACTTGAACTTAAAGCAAAAGAGCCAACTTTAGTATGGCAACACGGCAGACCCACACAGCGACATTGGAATTTAGTCTTTCATAGGAAGACTTTCATCATTGAGATGATGATACACTGTGTATTTAGATATCTCAATGATAGTTTGATTACATAATATATACCTTAGTATATAATAAAACTATTTGATATTGTTACAGTCTCCAACAATTTACATAGGTACATAGTTACATACAAATATAGTTTGTTTACCAATACCTTTATTATTAATTGATGACCAAGAATTACTTTAAAGTTGTCGTAACTTTCAAGGCCAAAACCTTCTTTCTAAGGAGAGGCCTATGTCCAGCAGTGGACTCTTAAAGGCTGTTGATGATGATGATGATGAACTTTCAAGTATTTTTTTGATTTTAATAACTAATTATTCGC